GCGGAGTGCCAGGTCGCCATGGTGCAGGCCATGCACAATTTTGTGCCCCCGACAGATAATCGGCGGGCAAAAGCGTTCGTGCAGCAGCATGGCGGCTAGGTCGCCATGATCAAGTTGATGGATGTAAGCATTCGCTCACACTTCCATAAATGTTTTTTTCTTGCTTTACTGGGTATTTACTATTGTTGCCGTTTGGCAGGCATTCAACTACGCTGTGGCGCTCTACGAGAGCGATCAGGCGGCTCGTACACAAAGCAGCGAGCTCGGTTCCAAGTGCAAGCAACTGGCTGCTGAGAAAGCCAGCCTTGTGGACGATGTGAATCGTCTGCAGGGCTCTGAAATGGCAAACCGAGCCGCGGCTGCTGAGAGCCGGGCGGACGAGCTCGCCAATAAGATCAATGAGCTCACCGAAGAGCTAGAGCGAGCTCGAGCGGAAAGAGAGAGCGGGATCCAGGCAGCAAAGGATGAGGCCGCCAGGGTTGAAGACAGGGCGAAAAAAGCTGAGGCTGACAGGGATCACGCTCAGCACGAGCTGAGCTCCCTTAGGCAGCAAGTCACCGAGGCGGACAGAAATCTTGCTGCTGCCGGGGAGTCGCTGAACGAACTGAAGGCTTCCCATGCCCGTTCCATCGTCATCGCCCGGGCTCAAGGGGCGGAATGGCTCGTTGGCTTGGCTGTGTTTCAGGATGCCGTGGCGGTGGTGTCTGCAAATGTAACCACGGAAATCTACAACGAGATCCGTGGGAAGGTGTTGCGACATCGCCCTGACTTCCCAATCGGCGAGCTGGCATTCTTTGACGGGGAGGACCTGAACGATCAGGGAAGGAGCCTTACTCCCCTAGCTGACGCCACTGTGAGGCTGAGGTGGGACCTGAACGAGGAGGGTGTGCCCGTCTGGCCACCGTCCGTGCTGGAGGACGGGGAGGATCCAGCAGGACTATCCTCCTTTGACGCCTGGGTAGAGGGTGCTCCTGTGGTTGAGCAGGAGCCTTCGAGTACCCCACCCAACTCTCAGCCCGCTGTGTTGCCAGCCAGCTCGCCCGTCAACGTACCAGACATTGAGCCAGCAGCCCGGTCTCCTCCAGCTCGCTCTCCTGCAGCTGCTGCTGATGCATCTATGCCCGTCGGTCTGACGGATGACTAGACTTGGGGTTTCTTTTCTTTTGACTTTTTTGTACCTTGTTTTTGCATTTTGTATTTGATCAACGAATTCGTATCATGTGCCTTCAATGTAAATGTCCTTGATGAAATACAAAATGAACTTTTCTTTGAATTTGTGTTGTATTTTCGGTATACTGTTTGTTTACAACTGATGGATAGTACCTCAAACGAAATATCATAACACACATTAACTGTAAAACTTCTTAAGGTTTTGTACATTCCAAAGGTAAGGTAACTGATGCCTGTGTATATCTGCTAACATGTAAGAGCCAGGTCGCTTAACCCGAACCACCATATAGGGACCTTCCCAATTAGGAGCGAGCTTACCCATGTGTGACTGAGTGTTAGTTAACCCAGCCTTGCGTAGAACCAGATCGCCAACTTGAAACTGGCGAGCTCGAACCCTTTTATTGTAAAATTTTGCAACACGGTTTTGATGTGCCACGTTTCTTATTCTAGACATCTCCCTGACCTCTTCTATGAAGTCCAGGTTTTCTCTCAAAAGTTGCTCATTGTTGAGATCGTCATGCCGACCTGCTCGATCGGACGGCAATCCAGCCTCTACTGGGATGACGGCTTCAGCTCCATAGGCCAAGCTGAAGGGGGTTTCGCCCGTGGCCGAGCTTGGTGTGGTGCGACAAGACCAAAGCACTTTGTTGAGCTCGTCAACCCAATTAGAATGCGCAGCCAAAACGCGTGTCTTGAGGCCACGCAAGATGATTTTATTGGCGGACTCGGCTTGCCCGTTTGACTGTGGAGTATACACGGATGTCAATGTGAGCTCGATGCCATAATCGTTACAAAACGATCTCAGTGCTGCGGCTCGGAACTGTGGCCCATTATCGGCGATAATCCGCTTAGGTATGCCGAACCTGCACACAGATGGACGAGCTGAGCCACAGACTGTGTTTGCATATATTTTACTTGTGATCTAAGTTACTAAAGAATACCTGCACAATATGGAATTGAACAAGAATTCTTCGATTTTCCTTTCTGTTGTCGTGGATAATGGCTTAGCTTCTATCCACTTGGTGAAGTAATCCACCG